TCTGGTTTATGACACAGTACAATTCATAAGGCAAAAATATAGGCATTATTATCCAATTCTTTATTTTCACTTGTATTTTAAGGCAAACTTGGAACTTTTTGCTTGGTATTTTAAAATAAATGGGACTTACATATGATAACTTGACAAAAGTAACAATAAATATCCATACTTAAATATGTGTAATATAAAAGACATATGGATAACAATTTTTCTCTCTGCAGAGATGTAAACTGGATTTTTATTTGACTCCATATTCACACCCATAAGAAAACTTGTAAACTTATAGTTTTAAAACTTACTGTAGTCCTCACTCTTCAAATATGTATCAACACTGAATCAATATACTGTAAGTGAAAATCCAATATCTATCCAGCCACAGAATAATTGCATCTAATTAAATGTCTAATTAAAGTGCTGTTTTACAAAGAAAAAAAAGGTTAAAAGGTAGAACTGGATGTTAACTTGACAGGTGATATCATTCTTTAACTTTCAAACTACAGAGGTTATAATAAGTTTATTGAACTTTAAGCAGTATATTTATGGTGGAATCTGATTTTCCTGAAAATGAGCACTTAGGTGACAATATCAGAAATCCAACATCAAAACTAAAAACAAACACAACATTAAATGTACATTTATTTCCTTCAATATAAGCCAGAGCATTGATAATATAGTATTTTTTTTAAGCTTCTATGATTTTGTTACCTACTCAAAAATATATTATCAAATCCCAGGGAATTTGGAATTCTATAGATGTTATTTGTTTGTTTGTTTTTATAAATCTTTTTCATGCCAATAAAACCTAACTGAACATGAAAGGATACAAATATTTATACATAAACTGGGTCTCTAATTACTGTGGTGTTGGCGATAAGGAATTAAGATTCACACTTTATCACTATAGTTATTTGGTATAGGTCTCCCTCACTATATTTTATTTTTTGAGTGAAAAAACTATATCTTATTTCTATTTTTAGCCTCTATAGCATCTAGCACAATATCTCATACAGAGAGTAGACCCTCCATCTTTGTCAAGGTATCAAAATATTTTTCAAAACCTAATGAATGCCATTTTTCTATCATCTGATACCACTTCCTATAATTTTATATTCATATCTAAAACAATATTAGCAATAACATAGAATGTACATAAATAGCCTTTGGTCTACTTTAAAAATCACTTAAGTTCTATTACTGTATTCAACTAATAATAAATAGCCCAACATTCCAAACTGATTATGTCCTCATAAAGTAATCATAAAAGACAATTATCTTCCAACTGATTAGATAATCTAACAACCACTTAAAAAAAATATTTGTGGGCAATCTTAATTATCTGTCTCCTCTGTGATTATATAAAACTAAAGGCCCTGTGCATGAAATTTGTGCGTGGGGGAGTCCCCTCAGCCCAGCCTGCACCCTCTCCAATCTGGAACCCCTTGAGGGATATCTGACTGCCCGTTTAGGCCCGATGCCACTGACTTCCCTCTCACAATCCAGGACAGCTGGCTCCTAACCGCCTACCTGCCTCTGTCTGATTGCCCCTAACCGTTTCTGGCTAACTGCTCCCTGGCTGGCCCAATGGCCCCTAACTGCCCTCCCCTGCCAGTCTGGTCACCCTTACCTGTCCTCTCCTGCTGGCCTGGTCCCCCCCCAACTGTCCTCCCCTGCAGGCCTGGGTCCCCCACAACTGTCCTCCTATGCAGGCTTGATCACCCACAATGTTCTCCCCTGCAGGCCTGGTCCCCTCCAACTGCCTTCCCCTGCAGACCTTGGTCCCTCCCCGAACTGTCCTCCACTATAAGTCTGGTCTTTCCCAACTGCCCTCCTCTTCTGGCCTTGTCAACCCTAACCAACCACAACTGCCCTCACCTGCAGGCCATCTTGTGTCTTGGAGTGATGGTCAATTTGCATATTACTCTTTTATTAGATAGGATTATGTCTAGCATATTTAACCCTGTGAATTTATAATCAAATATCTTTATCCTCTTTAGCATAAGAAACATGTGACTTTAAATTCACAATTTATCAGCAGAGTATTCATAATAAAACTTCTCACAAATCTGTACAAGAAGGTTCTACTGTAAAGTTATCAGTTGTCAAATCACATTAATACCTATGGGCTGAAACCGGTTTGGCTCAATGGATAGAGCGTCGGCTTGGGGACTGAAGGGACCCGGGTTCAATTCCGGTCAAGGGCATGTACCTTGGTTGCGGGCATATCCCCAGTAGTGGGTGTGCAAGAGGCAGCTGATGGATGACTCTCTCATCAATGTTTCTAACTATCTCTCTCCCTTTCTCTCTGTACAAAATCAATAAAATATAAAAAAAATTTAAAAAAATACCTATGGTTATGAAATAGTACAGCAGCTTTAGCAAATCTGAAATATTTCTAATTTTGTTTTCTTTTTTCTCTTCATTTTACAGGTTTTCATGATTTTTTTCTCTGGTATATGGCTTCTATTATAGCCCCAAATATTTCACATTTAGTCTTCTTCAACATAAAATTCAAATTTTTTCAAAACAACAATCAAGAGATCCCTTTGATCTAATTTATCAAATGATTTATATATTTTATATTAATTTGAGAGTGGCAATGATACATTGAGTAAAACATAATTAAAATAAAATGTGTAGTATAATGCTGCTTACAATAAAATAATTTTCTAGTCTTTCAAATTCCCTTCTAGGGAGAAAGGATTAAATAGAGAATAACAGGATGTATTTAACAACTTTACTGATATAAACAGAACGAAAATTGAGTTGGGAAATTTAAACCAAATGTGTGATGGAATCTATTTTAAATGCTTTTCTTTAAATAAAGTCTAAGCCAATAATAATAATGCACCTTGTTTCTATCCAAGAGATTTATTCAAATCAATTAAAAAGTTATTGCTATTTATCATTGTGATTTAAACAAGCAACATAGAAAATAGCCTGTGAAGTTTATTAGTAGCTCCTGTTGAGTTCTTACTTACAAGAGACTAAACATTATTTGCAAGGTTTTATAATCTGTACAATATTCATAAAGCATGATACTACTTGTGTTTAAAGAAGATTTTAAATAATTTGGTATTATATATTTAAATCTATAACTGGCAGTTTATGGAGGAACAAGGAAAACAGCAAATTGCCAGCTACAATTTTTAAGTAATAACATGTATGCTAACAAATTAACTTATGTTTTATAATTACAAATGGCTTCTTAACAATAGTTCAGAACCTTATGGCACTTAAGAATGCATATAATTTTTCTTACAAATTTTCATCTATAAAGAGATGATGGAAAAGTAAAAAAAATATATGGAAAAGAAAATGAAATTACTATAGTAACAAAAATAAAAGTACCGACATCCTAATAAAATGCAAGGTATTGTGTTCAAGTCTAATGGACATTTAGTAAAACATGCTAAAACAAAATCAATCAGCCACTTCTTTTAAATAAGCTGTCACTTGGCAATAGCAAACCATTTTGCTTTAAAAGATCATTTCTTTAGTCAAAGTAGAACCAAATTTAGAACCATTACTCAAGTAAACAACGAGTTCCAGTTTTCCTCAATGACTTTAAAATATTCAGTTACCAAGAAATGTAGAGTAATGCATAATTGCCTAGTGCTTTATATTTAATGCATATATTTTTGTTTTTACAGGAGGACATGTAATATCTAGCACAAGAAGAAAGAAGATAAAAAATGTATCTTTCTTTAAATCATTTTTCAGGAACCATGGGAAGCATAACATAGGCATTTAGGTAATTTTTGGATGTTAACATTAGTATATTCACTAATATTTTTAATAATCACAAATAAATCAAGCCAGTCAAAATGAAAAATACTATCAACACACGTCATGCAAATTTCATACTGAACATCCAAAAGAACATCATTATAGCCTTGTATAGCTCCTACGTTAGCACCATTTTTATATCTAAAAACACTTTGAAAAAGCAAACAAGTGTCTTAAAACCTGAAATTATTATAAGGATATATGAAAAAAATCAATATGCAAAAAGGGTGATACTAAATATTTGTCATTTATATGTATCAACACTGGGAAGCTTGCTTTACTACTAAAAAAATAAACTGATGTGCTTAACTCTATCCATGCTTAGCATAGCAGAACTGGATAAGTAAGTTCTTCCAGCATTAACCTGCCCACATAAAAAAGATATAAACAATAAATATCTTTTAACAGGCTCCCAAATATCATGATAGTAAAAACATTTGTCTTGCAAAGATATTACAGCCCCAGCCCTAAAGCCATTTAGCAGGAAGAATGTCCAGGTGATTCACTAGAGCATATAATTTATACCCCTTAAAAGTACCAAAAAAAAAGCAGCCCTTTATTTAAAATGTGAAGCATGTGAACTTACATCCAAAAGACAGTATCAGTACTCTATCCAGACATTCACTACACTCCAGCATCTAAACATCATTCATCCTAGGTGCATATTGAGGAAGAGAGCTAAAATATTTTTTATAAAGCAAGTTTTTCACATGTACACTTATGAACATAAAGCTACTTTATGTCAGCCCAGCTGGTGTGGCTCAGTGGTTGAGCATCAATCCATTAACCAGGAGGTCACTGGTTCAATTCCTGGTCAGGGCACATGCTTGGGTTTCAGGCTCAATCCCCAGTGTAGAGCATGCAGGAGGCAGCCAATTGATGTTTCTATCTCTAGTCCTCTCCCTTCCTCCTCCTCTAAAATCAATAAATAACATTAAAAGAAACTATTTTATGCCAGTATTAGAGGAAAAAGTGCACAATTCAATTGGCAAGATCTTTCCTTTTTTTTTTTTTTTTTTTTTGATTATTGGTTCACTGTGTAATCAAGAGCAACCAAAGCTACTTGTCAGTTCAAAGTACCCAACAAAATGTTGAGTCTTCATGACATTTCAAGTTAAAAACAAAGCAATGCAGCTTTGGGGTTTCAGAAAATTAGGCATCCTTTCATGCGGCACGAAGTTCTTCACCTCACTATTTCCATGACTCCACACTTGTCAAAGTGCAGTTAACCCGAAATTGCAGCGACAGTATATCATGCCAGCTGAATCCAGCCATGTATCTGAGATAGGGTCATATTTCTGTACGGTGTTCAGATAGGAAGACCCTGAGTGACCACCGACCACATAAAGGTAGTTATCGATTACTGCAGCACCAACTCCTAGGAAAGGTGAATAAAAATAGGGGGGAAAACACGTTAAGCATCTAGTAGACTTCTCACTAAAAATAAGTGAATTTGTATTTTAATGTTTTCTTAAAATACATTTCAATAATCTGTTATTAATTATATAAGCAATATAGTAATACTAGAGGCCCAATGCACATTTGTGCCCTCTCGGAGTCCGGGACCCATCAGGGGATGTTCACCGCCGGCTTAGGCCCGATACCCCCAGGAATCAGGCCCAAGCCAGCAGTCAGACATCCCTCTCGCAGTCCAGGGTTCTTGCAGTCCAGGACCCCTTGCTCCTTACCGCCTGCCTGCAGCGGAGGTGGGAGAGGCTCCCACCACTGCTGCTGTGCTCTCCAGCCATATGCCTGGCTGAGTGGGGCTCCCCCTGTGGGATTGCAGTGACCACCAGGAGGCAGCTCCTGCATTGAGCAACCCCTTGGTGGTCAGTGCACATCATAGTGACTGGTTGTTCTGCTGTTTGGTCTATTTTCATAGTAGGGTTTTATTTTATAACATGAGCTCACTGGGAAAATATCCCTGAATATAAAAGAAAAGTAACAGTTGAAGGCTTCCTTCATCTCTGTTCTCCAATCGTACTGTCTCTCTCCTAGACCACAGAAAAATATTTTTAAAAAGCAGCCCTGTCCCGGTGGGTGTGGCTCAGTAGTTGAGCATCAACCCGTGAATCAATAGGACACCAGTTGGATTCCCGGTCAGAGCACTTGACTGGGTTACAGGCTGGATCCCCAATAGAGGCATGCAGGAGGCCACCAATCGAAGTTTCTATTTCTTTCTCCCTCTCCCTTGCTCTCTCTCTAAAATTAGCAAAACATTTTCTTTCAAAACTGTAGCTATGGCCAGGATTTCTCAGTGGTTAGAGCATCAGCCCACACACCAAAGGGTCTCAGGCTTGAGTCCAGCCAGTCAAGGGCATGTACCTTGAGTGCAGGTTCCATCCTTGTCCATGTTGGAGCATGTGCAGGAGGCAACCAATTGATGTCTCTTTCTCATCTCTCTCTCTCTCTCTCTCTCTCTCTCTCTCTCTCTCTCTCTCTCTCTCTCTCCCTCCCTCCCTCCCTCTCTCGCTCTCTTTCTCTCTCTTGCTCTCTCTCTCTCTCTCGCTCTCTCTGTCTCTCCCTCCTTACCTCCCCCTCATCCTCTTCCACTTTTTGTAAAAAAATGAAAATAATGAATGGAAAAAAGTATTTTTGGGTGAAGATCAACACACACACACACACACAGAGAAATAAATAAATAAATAAATAAATAAAGAAAGAAAGAAAGAAAGAAAGAAAGAAAGAAAGAAAGAAAGAAAGCAGTAATTCCTTTCCTATAGTTTGTGTTAAGCTGTCACTATTAGATTGCAAACTCCTTGAGAGTTGGCACTATTTAAAAATTTGTCTTTGCATTCCTTTAATATTTGCACTGAAATATTGTGCATATGGTAAGTACTTAAGACTTGGATGAGTAAAAAAAAAAAAAAAAAAAAAAAAAGAATGCAGTATACTATATATACCACCCATCTTAACTGTTTATGAATCGGAATGTTTGTAACACAACGTGTGTTTTTTTAACCTTCACCCAAGAATATTTTCTCCATTAACCACTAGAGAAAGTGGAAGGGAGGAGGAGAAACAGAGAGAAAGAAGCATCGAGGTGAGAGAGACACATTGATTGGTTGCCTCCCACACGTGCCAGACCAGAACTGGGAATCCAGATTGTAACTGAGGTGTGTGATCTTGACCAGAATCAAACCTGTGACCCTTTAGTCCATGGCCAATGCTCCCACCACTGAGTCAAATCAGCCAGGGCCTCAATGTTTTTCATGAATAATGAACGAACATTTAAAAGAAGAATGCAGTATATACCTTTTCATATGTTTTCTTCTCATTTGATATCTCCATATTTTTTCAAGAAATTATTCATTTTCATCAAGTTTTCAAATATGCGGACCTCATATTTTGAAAGTTTGTGTTGCACCATTTTGCTTTATAAAAGACCTGTATTACAGTTGACCCTTGAATACTGAAGGAGTTAGGGGTACCAACACCTGCACAGTAAAAAATCTGAGTAGAACTCTTGATTCCCCCAAAACTTAAGAGTTTACTACTGACTGGAAGCCTTACCAATAACATAAACAGTTGATTAACCCATATTTTGTAATTAAATATTATATACTGTATTCTTACAATGAAGTAACCTAGAGAAAAAATATTAAGAAAATCATAATGAATAGAAAATATACTAGTATATACAGTATTTTTTGAAGAAAATACCACACAAATAAAAGCATGTATATGTAGACTAAAGCAGTTCAAACTCATGTTGTTCACGGGTCCACTTTACCTGTTCACTAATCAAAAGAAATCTGAAGAGGATTTTTGTTTTTACAAAAATGACAAAAAACAAAGCTAGCATTCAGCATTTGTTTTGTTGCAGCAAACTGTTATAGAGGCAGCATGAACCAAGCAGCGAGGGTGACTCTGCCACATTCTTTCCCTGGGAACTACCTTCAGCATCTCAGCATCACGCCACCTGCTTCTAGGCATTAGCCACTTCGGTTTAGAAAAGGTTTCATAATAATGCTCTTTTTTGAGGAGCAGGGGAAACCTATATATTAAAAAATTCAAAAGTATCTAGTGAGCTACATAATTTATGCTCTAAAATTTTTACTTTGTATTTTATAGTTTTAAAAGAACAAGGCTGCCTAAATGCTTTACATTCTCTTTTTTATGGCTTTCTCCTGCAATGTTACACACACTATAGTAAAACTAATAGTTCATTCCAGTTTTCCTTTCAGTTTTCTTTGCAAGTTTGTTTCACAAGTTTCTTAAGTCACAAATGTAAAGAATACTAACATATTCCATCAGTAATTTAAAACTTTCCCCTTAAAATGATGTTATATAGAACTCAAAGATAATTTCTTCTTTTCTTTAATGTAATTGTTTTTCTCTAGGGACCCTGAAATTCAGAGTTTTCTTGACTATACCACTTGAGGAGGAGAGACATTTGAAAGTGAAGATATAAGTGCTGATGTGCAATAAAAAACAAAATTGAACATCCGAGGATTCTGTGTGTGTGTGTATGTGTCTAACATATAAAAAGATGACATTTGTTATATGGACAAAAAGAGTTTCTAGAAAATACATTCTATTACTATTATATCTCAAAATGTGTTCTCCAAGTTTAAGAAATAATAATATGCACACTGGCATATTAAAACCACAGTAAAGAAATCTATGTGATTTTATCTAATCTCGTCTTGCAAGTTTACCACAAAAGTGTATTTTTTTCTGAACAAGTAGTACTCTTTATTATTATATTCCAAGAACATCACTATAAAAATGTTGTCCTATATATTCAAAATCAATAAATTATTACCTGTTCTGGGTTCTTTCATTGGTCTACACACAGTCCACTGATTTTGATGAGGGTCATATCTTTCAATGCTTGACAAATGTGAGACACCGTTATGCCCACCGACTACAAAAATAAAGCCCAGCATGACACCCACACCAAAGTGGATCCTTTTATCTGCCATAGATGCAACCATCTCCCAGGAATCCTTACTTGGATCATAACGTTCCACACTGCAAATATTCAACAAAAGAAAGAATTAATTCACATATTCTTTGTGTTATTCTTTCTACTAAAGCAACACTAAACCCCACCTTTGAACTTTTAAAAGTTAAATAGTCAGATATAAAACCAGAATAGTTTGTCCTAAATGTTTTGATATTGCTGGTGAGATTGCAGGGATAAAAGTTTATCTTTTATAATGGGTGAAAAATAGCCATATGTTATCCCATTATGTTGTGTAAACAGCAAGGTATATTAATGTTACAGAACTTTTGGAGTCAGAAAACCTGGGTTCAAGTGCTTAATGTACCATATTTAGAGCTGAATAAACCATAGTCCTACCACTTTGGATTTGTAATACTGTGTAAGTCATATTTCCTCTCAGCTGCAAAAATGGCAATAATTCAACCTCAAAGGATCTATAGAAGAATAGTCAAATAAGTATGCATGGGGAAAAAACTTTGAAAATGACAAACTGAATATAGATGTATTCTAAGAGTCTTCTACACAGCCAAGAAAAAGGGGAAAGAGGGAAAGAATAGGAATTTTTTCTTACAGGAGAATTCACAGTGATTTACTGTAAAGCAAACACTGTAGATTTCACAGGACAAATTGGCTAATCATAATAATCTCAGAGTTAATTTAGGAATATTCAAGGATATAAGACAAATCTGCATTTCAGAGAATATTTGGCATTTTCAAGCTAGCCTATGGGAAACTGAATCAAATCAGAATTTCTAAAAGAGCTTCCCTAAAACATTCCGGAAGGCCATGTAGGCTATGCTTTGCCTTGAAGCAGCACAAAGACAAACTTCTTAAGCTTGTTCTGGTCTTAATCTAACCCCTCAAAAGATCCTAAAGCATTTGGGGGTTTTTCTTTTTATATATATATATATATTTTATTGATTTTTTACAGAGAGGAAGGGAGAGGGAGAGAGAGTTAGAAACATCGACGAGAGAGAAACATCGACTAGCTGCCTCTTGCACACCCCCTACTGGGGATGTGCCCACAACCAATGTACATGCCCTTGACCGGAATCTAACCTGGGGCCTTTCAGACCGCAGACCGACGCTCTACCGCTGAGCCAAACCGGTTTCGGTGGTTTTTTTCTTTTTTCTTTTCTTAAGTATATTTTATTGATTTTTTTACAGAGAGGAAGAGGGATAGAAAGTCAGAAACATCAATCAGCTGCTGCAACCAAGGTACATGCCTTGACCAGAATCGAACCCAGGACCCTTAAGTCCACAGGCCAATGCTCTATCCACTGAGCCAAATCGGTTTCGGCAGATCCTAAAGCATTTGAATGTCAGTAAGTTAATTCTGGATTTAGGATAGAGACTAGACTGTGGATTAGACTAGAATATAGACTAAATTATAACTTTCTGAAAGGACACCACAATAAAAACCTTTAGAGCAAAATCACTGGGTAAAAATCAATAAACTGTAGCAAAAACTTAAAACTTCCATAGTATCTCATATCTAAAATACTTAACTTTTCATCTTATAAATCTCTGCCAGCAACTTTTCAAAGAGTAGAAATGTATGCTACTAGCTGGTTGGGTCCTAGCCGGTTGGGCTCAGTGGAAAAACGTTGGCCTCAGACTGAAGGGTCACGGGTTTAATTCCAGTCAAAGGTGTGTATTGATTGGGTGCAGAGGCAACCAATTAACATGTCTCTCTCACATCGATGTTTCTTTTTCTTTCTCCCTTCCACTCTCTAAAAATCAATGGAAAAAATATCCTCAAATGAGGATATTTTTAAATAATATACTTTTAAATATATTTTTTAAAATAAATAAATAAATAAATAAATAAATAAATATATATATATATATATATATATATACACACACACACACACACATAGTATAAGCATATAGGAATTGCATTTTTCACTTTTTTATTATATTAAGCAATGCAATAAGAAGCCATTTACACACACACACACACACACACACACACACACACACCACCCAAAATCTAGTTATCTAACTTAATCTGACTTTCAGATTTCTGAATTTTAAAATCTATCCATTTATATTAATTGAATGAATATAAAATTTAGTAAGAGGCATTTGACTCTTAGGTTTGTATTAAATCCCCAGGTAAACAATTATACTCATAGGGCAGATTAAATCTTCAAAATGTTTTATTAATATTACTTTAAAAGGGGAAGTTAATTTATACACACAAATTGTTTAAAAGCCAGAAATAATTGTTAATAATACTTTAAAAATCTACAGCTTGATTAAGTACCTGTTCATGTGGGCGGGACCATACCCACCAATGGCATATATCATTCCATCCAGCACAGCTGCAGCAAAACAACTTCGTGTTGTAGTCATTGGTGCCACAGGTTCCCATCTTCTTAATTTGGGAATATACTTCTCTACTGACTGTAAATAAGACTGTCCATCATAGCCACCTAGGGCATAAAGTTCTCCTGCAAGTACTACTACTCCAAGGGTACTTCGGTGTTCATTCATTCTCTCGAGAGAAGTCCAGGTATTTGTATCAGGATTCCAGCATTCTACTGAATTTTCATGGTTTCTGACATTGAAATCAGGACGCACATCAGTTTCAATACCACCTATAACATATACTTTTTGGTCTAAAACGCATATTCCAAATTCATAGCGAGGCATGTTTAGGGGTGCCAAACCAATCCAAGAGTCATTCTGAGGAAAGTACATCTCCACACTAAAGAATAAGCAGAAAACATTAAATTTTAAAAATCAAAATGGTCCATCAACAAAAATGTTTAATCTCATTAGTAATCAGGGACATGAAATTAAAACCACAATAAACCATGACACACTTTCCAGATTGGTAAAAAAATAAAAGTCAGATAATAACTACTGACAAGGATGTGGAGGAAGGAATAAACACTCTGTTGGTGAGAGTGTAAACTGGCAAAACAACCCTGGAAAATGATTTCACATTTTCTGGTAAATTTGAAGATATATACACCTGGCAGCAATTTCATTCCTGTATATGTATTCTATGAATGTGTATTATAGTTTTACACCAGGCCACAAATACAGAAATGTTCATAGCAGCACAACACAATCATCCATCAAAAGAAAGAATCCTATATAATAAAACCCTATATGCAAATTGACCAAACTTTGGAACAACTGGTTTTTATAATGTGTACTGACCACTAGGGGGCAGACACTCAATGCAGGAGCTGCCCCCAGGTGGTCAGTGCACTCCCACAGGGGGAGCACCGCTCAGCCAGAAGCTGGGCTCACAGCTGGTGAGGGCAGTGGAGGTGGCAGGAGCCTCTCCTGCCTCTGTGGCAGAACTAAGGAGCAGCGAGCCAAGTAGTAAGGAGCAGTGAGCAGGCGGGTGGTAAAGCACGAGAGTTCACAGACTGCGAGAGGGCACAGGCCAAGCTGAGGGACATCCCCCTCCCTAGTGCATGAATTTTGTGCACTGGGCCTCTAGTGAATAAATAAGATGATATATCCACCCTATAACTGAGCAATTCCATTCCTAAGATATACTAGTACCCAAGAGAAATGTAGTAGTTAAAAACTCGATGTTTTTAAATGTTCCACATGCTCATCAACAAAAATAAATAGATAAATTGTGGCATATTATACAAGAGAATAGTACACAGCAATGAAAATAAACAAATTACAGCTACATGCAACAGAACATATAACATTGAAGGAAAGAAGCCAAAATTGAGAAAATTATATTCTGTATACAGTAGGTCCTCGGGTTATGTTGGAGATCCATTCCTACGGTGCAATGCAACATGATTTTCGCCATTAAGTAGGAACTCACCTACATAAGCACCTATATCACTCACATGGAGCACATACACAGCAATAATGAAATGAAACAGTAAAAAGTTAAAAAAAAGATAATTCCTGATCTTTACTTGTGGTAAATAAAAATAAATAAATAAAAAAAATAAAGCACATACGTACATACATCGAAATGATGGGACTTTTTTTTTTTTTTTAAATAAATAAATGGGAGATGGTGACGTAACTACGAAACGACTTACGTCAAGTCCGACATAACCCGAGGATTGCCTATAGTTTCATTCATATGAAGTTCAAAAACATTTTTTTTAGTAAATCTTTATTGTTCATATTATTACAGATGTTCCTCTCCCCCCCCCCCCCCCCCCCGCTCCATTGCTCTCCTCCACCAGTTTCCCACCCCACCCTCTGCCCTTTCCCCACCCCCCATTGTTCTCATTCATAGGTGCCCAGTTTATGTTCAGTCTCTTCCCACATCCTCCACTCCCCTTTTCCTCAAGAATCCTCAGTTTACTCCCCTTCCATACCTCTGATTCTATCATATTCAACAGTTAATATTGTTCATCAGTTGTTGTTTTTTTAATTTCCTTGGTTTTTAGATTCACTTGTTGATAGTTACGTATTTGTTGTTTATAATTTTTATCTTTATTTACTTTCTCTTCCAAAAGAACCCCCTTCAGCAATTCATATAATTCTTGTTTGGTGGTGATGAACTCCTTTAGCTTTTTTTTATTGGTGAAGCTCTTTATCTGGCTTTCGATTCTGAGTGATAGCTTTGCTGGGTAGATTATTTTTGGCTGTAGGTTCTTACTATTCATCACCTTGAATATTTCTTGCCATTACCATCTGGCCTGCATGGTTTCTGTTGAGAAATCAGCTGACAATCATATAGGTGCTTCTTTATAGGTAACTACCTGCTTTGCTCTTGCTGCTTTTAATATTCTCTCTTTGTCTTTTGCTCTTGGAATTTTAATTATGATTTGTCTTGGTATGGTCTTCTTTGGATTCTTTTTGTTTGGAGTTCTGTGTGCATCCTGGACTTGTAAGTCTATTTCGTTCACCCAGTGGGGGAAGTTTTCTGTCACTATTTCTTCCAGTATGTTTTCGATATGCTCTCTCTCATCTTCTGGGATCCCCATAATTCTGATGTTGGTTTGCTTGAAGTTGTCCCAGAGGTTTCTTACATTATCTTCAATTTTCTGGATTCTCTTGCTTCTGTGGAGGAGTGTCTTCTGGCTCTTTATGTTCCAAATCTTTGACTTGATTCTTGCAATCTTCCATTCTGTTTTTAGGACTTTGTATAATATTTTTTATTTCAGACAATGTATTCTTTATTTCTTGTTGATTCCTTATTAATTCTAGTTGATCCCTTTTCATATCTTCATAGGTCTTATCGACCTCTTCTAGGAAATTCTTGAAAAACCTTATAAGCATAGATTTGAACTCAATATCCAGTCGCTTTTTGTCCTCCATTTCTTTCGTTTGTGATCTATTTTCTTGTCTAGGCATTTTTGCAGCTTCCCTGAGTTGGTAGCCTTAAAAGTCTCTGTGTTCTGCTTGGATGGGATGGGGTTTCAGGGTGAAGCCAACAGCCTTGGCTGCTGTCAGCCCCGCCTTATGCGGCTCCTGAGTCTCAGTATTCCCCAGGGTCCTTCAATACTCGCTGCAAGCACCTCTGAGAGAAAGGTGCCCTCAATTTTCACCTACTACCAAACAGTCTAGGCTCTCCCCTAATGAGCCCGGAACTGGAGTTCAGTTTAGTTGGAAGTGGAGTTGGAGGTGGCGTTCAGAGCAGTCTGGAGCCCCTGTCTCCTTCCCACCAGGGCAATCCCGCGGCACAGCCAACCGTCCCTTCTCTGTGTGCAATGTGCGCGCCTCTGGGATCTCCTTTCGCCGCTTCCCTTACAGCCCCGGCTCCCTCTGTTTGAGCCTATTTCTTTATCTAGTTTGTAATGTTCACTTTGTGTTAATTCCAAGCTGTACATTTAGAATTCGTGAACTTTTATACATGTGTGTAGCATTTCAATTTATTTTTATAATTTATATATTAATATATAACATGTAGAAAGTATTGTATTATGTCCACATAATACCACACACCAATGAAACTACATAAACTTACTGCTGAGCAAGAAAACACATATCTGAAATATATATATAGTACTTCATTTATATAAAAATGTATAGCCCTGACTGGTATGATGGCTCAGTTTGTGTCATCCTGTGCACCAGGAGTTTGCCAGTTGGATTCCCAGTCAAGGGCACATGCTTGGGTTGTGGGCTCAATCCCTGGTAGGAGGATATAAGAGGCAGCCAATCAATGTTGCACTCTCACATCGATGTTTCTCTCTCCCTCTCTTTTCCTCTCTCCCTAAAAATCAATAAATGATTCTTTAAAGAAAGAAGAAGAAAAAAGGTATAAAACCTAAGGATATATTGGGGCACATAAAGATATGGCAAAATTGTAACACAAAGGAATAATGCAGAGAAAATTCAGATCAGAGCTTCAATTGCTTGGATGTTGTCCTGTGCATCCTTGTGCACCAAAAAGTTGCTGGTTTCATTTCTAATCAGCCTGGGTTGTGGGTTTGGTCCCAGGTTGGGACAAGTACGGAAGGCAACTGGTTGATGTTTCTTTCTCACATCAATGTTTCTCTCCCCGCCCCCTCTCTCCTTCCCTCCCTAACTCCTCCCTCTTCTTCCTCTCTCTAAAATCAATAAAAAAGATATTTAAAAAAGATACAGAATATATCAGTTGACATTGATAAAATAGCCTACCATTGAGGTAGGGAAAGCAATCTACTAAATTTTTGGAAATAGCCAGAAAGAAATCCACAGTATTTATGAAATATATCAAACACAAAAGTTTTCATGAAGCAATTCCCTTCAGGGGAAAAGCACAGATAACATCCAGTTAAATTTTCAATATATAAAAGTTATTTGTATAATGCTCTAAATCAGGGATTGGCAAATACAGTTATGGGCCAAATTCAGCTCATCAATTCTTTTGTAAATAAAGTTTTATTGGAACCTAGCTATGATAATTCATTTATGTACTGACTATGACTTCTCTCACATATGGCAGAGTTGAGTAGTTATAACAGAGACCATATGGCCACAAAGTGTAAAATATTTATTTTTTGGCTCTTCATAGAAATAGTCTGACAACTCCAAGTTATTAGGAAAGAAAGCACTTTATACTACTGTCACTACAAAAATTTACATTGAACAAAATAAACTGCATATAAAGTCTATGATTTGTATCAATATCCTACTTTTTCTTATTTCTTTGGTGGTTCTTTTAATTAACTGAATTCATTCAAAACCAATCTTGGCCCTAAGTCTCCCTCATCAGATTTCTAGCTCTCCTCTTTAGCATCTTCTGATATACCTTGCAATTCTTCTGACCTGGTGTGACTCTAATAAAGATACAAATGATATCACAAAGAAAAAAGACATAAACTAGAAAAGTTAGTAAGTACCCAGAAGAGATGAAGTTTGTACACTGCAAGTGGGGTGTTAATAATTGAGAATGTTGTAGAGAATGGATGATAACATCATTAAAACAATCAGGTAAGTGTTTGGGAAGAAAAGAAAAAAGAAGCAAATTTTTAAAAAATAAAAAAATTGAACTATTTAAAAATTATAGAAAGCACATTTAGAAAGTATAAAATCTATTAATATCAATCCTTCTATTTACCTATCCAAAGTGGCAAACAGTCCAGATTTTCCTCCTACTGCACAAAGTACTTTGGGAGCACAGCGAGGTCGTGTCATCAAGACTGTCTGATGGGAGAGTCTATGTTCAGGCATAAAGTGGTACTTTAGGGCTTCATTCAAAAGATGTTTACAAGTACGGTCATCACGAATAAGATGATTTGCTTCATATAATCTAGTGAGAAACTTAACACTTAGCAATGGTAATCGCACACTGTTAAGTAGCTGTGCTAAGTATTTCTGGCGTTCTTGTACATCATAATTGATCCAAGATTCAAGTGCATAAAAAACAGTCTCTTCGGTAGCTACATTCAAACAGTCATTGGAAACAATTTCATCCAAATCAGCATGTGTAAGCTCAAAAAACTCTTCAGTCTGGCAAACAGCTTCAAAATTCTGGCATATATATTTAGTGGCTGCCAAATAAAGGTCATGACAACCATACGTCTCTGCAAAACGAGAAATTCCAATACAATTACCAGGATCAAGTTGGCTTTCAAGAAATGCACAACATTCTTTCAGGACAGGTTTTATCTGGAGTAGGTTTGCTGCTGGAAGGAGAGATTCTACTGTGTCCTGTGAAATAAAAATAGTCCCTGTGTAGGCATATTCCACAATAGCCTGGAGAGCAGTTTCATCAATGCACTGAAACTCAACCTCACTGTTCTCTTTTTCAGAAAGATTTCCAGTAAACATAGCTTTGAAATATGGGCTGATGCTGGCAAGTACCACTTTGTGAGCATGAATTTTAACATCACCTACTCGAAGAATGATGTCACAGAGTTCATGATGTTGACGAAGAAGATTCAGACCTTGCAGAAGTTGTTCAGAATGTAAGTGTGTTAAGTTAGCAAGCATGTAGGTTGAGGATGTATGGTCCATCTACAAAAAAACAAAAAGCATAAACAGTTAATTCAAAATAATCTTGCCAATATGATCTTTTCCTAATAGTACAAAATAAATAAAATTTGTTGTTTGTTGTGTTTTAAATACATTATGCTAACTGCCAGACAGAGGCTTTTTATAAATATATTTTTATTTATTTCAGAGAGGAAGGAGAGAGAGAAAGAGAAACATCAATGATGAGAGAATCATTGATTGACTGCCTCCTGCACACTCTCTACTGGGGATCAAGCCTGCAATTTAGACATGTACCTTAACCAGGAATTGAACTGTGACCTCCTGGTTCATAGGTTGATGCTCAACCACTGATCCACACCAGCCAGGCAACAGGGGCTTTTAAAGTTAAAAGGGATATAACTAGTCATATAATTCAACTCCTTCAATATACATATTAAAAAACAGAGGCCCGCCAAAATCGGTTTGGCTCAGTGGATAGTGCGTCGGCCTGTGGACTGAAAGGTCCCGAGTTTGATTCCAGTCAAGGGCATGTACCTTAGTTACGGGCACATGCCCAGTGGGGGGTGTGCAGGAGGTGGTTGATCGATGTTTCTCTCTCATCAATGTTTCTCACTCTCTGTCCCTCTCCCTTCCTCTCTGTAAAAAATCGATAAAATTGATAAGGAAGGAAGGAAGGAAGGAAGGAAGGAAGGAAGGAAGGAAGGAAGGAAGGAAGGAAGGAAGGAAGGGAGGGAGGGAGGGAGGAAGAGAGGCCCACCCTAGCCAGTTTGGCTCACTGGATAGAGTGTAAGCCTACAGACTGAAGGGTCCCAGGTTTGATTCTGGTCAAAGGCACATGCCAGGGTTGCAGGCTCAATTCCCAGTAGGGGATGTGTGCAGGAGGCAGCCAAGCAATGACTCTCTTTCATCATTGATATTTCTATCTCTCCCTCTTCCTTTCTGAAATCAATTAAAAAAGAAAAAGAAGCCGAAACTGGTTTGGCTCAGTGGATAGAGTATCAGCCTGCAGACTGAAAGGTCCCAGGTTCGATTCCAATCAAGGGCATGTACCTTGGTTGCGGGCATATCCCCAGTAGGGGGTGTGCAAGAGGCAGCTGATCGATGTTTCTCTCTCATCGATGTTTCTAACTCTCTATCCCTCTCCCTTCCTCTCTGTGAAAAATCAATAAAAATATATTTTTTTAAAAAATAAAGAAGAAAAAGAAACAGGCCCAAAGATTATGAGTTTATGAGATTATGCTCCAGACCAAAACTGATTTTTGGATCACAATTCTGCCAACTCTTCTATTTACCTACTTTAATTTAATCACTGAGAAACACCAGCCAGGGCTACTCAACTCTTGATCACTACTTCAGATTATTCTCACTCAATCTACTTATGACTATGTGCTTCTGAAAGATGAAATAAAAATAGGAGAGAAGAAAAAAGAAGAGAAAAAATGAAAGACAATAAGGACTGTGATAGGCTAAATCATGGCTCCCTAAAAAGATATCCATATCCTAATCCCTAGAACTTTTGAAGGTTACTTTACATGGCAATTAAAGGCTTTGCAGGTATGATTAAGAATTCCGAGAAGGGAAGATTATTCTGGTGGGCCCTAAATATAATCACAGGTTTATTATACAAAGACCAGAGGTCTGATGCAAGGGGCTCAGCCCTAGAAGACCTGGCCAGAGAGGGAGGGGGAGGGGGAGGAGAGGGGAGAAGAGAAGGGAAGGGAAAATGGGAAGGGGGGAAAGAGGAGGGGAGAGAGGGGAGGAGGAGTGGTTGTTCTGGATGGTCGTTCTGCTATCTGGTCTAATTAGCATATTAGCTCTTTATTAATATAGGATTTGACACAGGCAAAAGAGAAGAAGGCAATGTGGTCATAGAGACAGAGATTACAGCGATGAAGCTACAAACAAAGTAATACTGGCAGCCACCAGAAGCTAGAAGAAGCAAGGAACAAATTCTCCCCTAGAGCCTCCAGACCATGTACAGCCCTGCCAACACCTTAATTTCAGCCCAGAAATCTTAATTTTAGATGTTTGGCCTTTAGAATTGTAAAAGAATAAATTTTCTGTATTTTTAAACAACCGAGTTTGTAGTAGTTTGTTACATCAGACATAACAAACTATATATAGCTACTAAGATAGCTCATTTGGTTACAGCACTATCCCCAGAGCCAAGGTTACAGATTCAATCCCAGTCAAGGCACATTCAAGGAACAACTAATGAATGCATAAGTAAGTAGGACAACAAATTGATGATTCTCTTCTCTTCTCTTCTCTTCTCTTCTCTTCTCTTCTCTTCTCTTCTCTTCTCTTCTCTTCTCTCTCTCAACTCAATCAATTTTTTAAAAAGAAGGGGGAGAGGGGAGAAAGAATTGTTTGTTTTTTTAAAAAAGAAAGAAAGATGGTTTGGTTCAGTGGAGAGAGCATCGTCGGCCTGTGGACCAGGTTTGATTCCGGTTAAGGGCACATGCCAGGGTTGCGGGCTTGATACGAAGTGGGAGGCATGCAGGAGGCGGCCAATCGATGATTGTCTCTCATCATTGATATCTCTCTCTCTCTCTCTCTCTCCCCCCTCCTCTCTGAAATCAATAAAAAATATACTTAAAATAAATACATAAAAATTAAAAAAGAAATTAGTGCAGCTGGCGTGCCACAGTTGGTTAAGTGTTATCCCATGCACCAAAAAGTTGCTGGTCTGATCTAGGTCAGGGCACATACCTGGGTTGCCAGTTCAATCTCTGGTCAGAGCATGTACAGAAGATAATGACTGATGTTTCTCTTTCTCTCACATTGATGTTTCTCTCTCTTTCTCACACTCTTCCTCTCTTTCTCTCTCTGAGTATGTCCTTGGATGAAGATTAAAATAGAAAATTAGCCAGGCTGTTGTAGCTCAGTGGTTGAGCATTGACCTATGAACCAGGAAGTCCTAGGTTGATTCCCGGTGAGGACAATTGGCACATCCTCAGTGTTTGGGCTCTTTCCCCAGTGGAGGATATGCATGGGGCAGCCAATCAACGATTCTCTCTCATCATTGATGTTTCTATCTCTCCCTCTTTCTTCCTTTTTGAAATCAATAAAAATATTAAAATTAATACATAAATACTTCACACTAGATCACAGCTGCTTAGAATGCATAAAACATAACACACTTATATAATATAAATTGTTTCCTTTCTATCTCATTCACATCTCAAGCACAAGTTATGAAAGTAAAAGTTCCTATTTTTAAAGTATTTTCAATAAATTAAAATTCTCAACACTATTAAATAATATAAATATTAGTAGGAGTGAGTATAGCACTTCATTCCTGGGCATTTTTTTATCCTCAACCAAGGAAATGTTTATTGATTTGAGAGAGAGAAAGTGAGAGAGAAAGAGAGAAAGGTAAAGAAACATTACTGTCAGAAATACATGGGTCAATTGCCTCCTGTACACACCCCAACCAGTTACCCCCTGGTTAACCATGGTGTAAAAATACTAAATGGAAAATTCCAGGAAAAAAAAGTCATAAGTTTTAAATTGCTTGCTGTTCTGAGTAGCATGATAAAATCTTGGGCTGTCCTGCTCCAGCCCACCTGGAACATGAGCCACTCCTCTGTCCAGTGCACCCACACTGTATACACTGCCTGCCCACTGGCCACTTAGTAGCTATCTCAGTTATAATCAGCTGTCATGGTACTGTAATACTAGTGTCAAGTAGCACTTATTTTACTTAATAATGGCCCCAAACTGTAAGAGTAGTGATGCTGACAATTCAGATATGCTAAGAAAGCCATAAAGTGCTTTTAAGTGAAAAGATGAGAATTTCAACTTAATAAGGGGAAAACATTCATATGTAAGGTTGCTAAGATCTACAGTAAGAACAAATCTTTTACCTGTGAAACTGTAACAAAGGAGAAAGAAATCTATCCTAGTTTTGCAGATGACATGCAGTTGCAAAGTACAGTGAAAACAATGGGTAATAAAACAAGGATCCAAAAGAACTGGCATCTAACAAAAAAAAGTTTCACAGAAATAAATGTTAAGATTCTATAGTGTATACCAAAACAACTATACAAGTATAGAATAAGAGAGAAAAAACTCATCTGTAGGATGTGTTTAGAGGACTTAAGGATTTTAACTTTAGTACTACTTTAGTACACAAAGCTTATGTAAGTTTAAGCTACATCAACAGAATTACAATATACAGACTTAGCACATTCTTACTTTGCTCTGAAAATATCAGAACACATCTAGAGTACAGATTTGGGGGACCATCCTTAAATAGAAGCTAAACAAAGTCTAATACCCAATGAGGCATAATGGGTAATGAAACTGAGGACACTAAGTCTGAAAAAAAGGATAACTGAGGATGTCATGTGAAAAACCAAGGGATAAAAAGTTAATAATCCTGCCTAATAAAAGAGTAATATGCAAATTAACCACCACTCTGCTACACCCATAAGCCACATCCAAAAGCCAACCAGGAGCCAATATGCAAATAAACCCAACCAAGATTGCTACAGCAACAGAGGGCAGGAGGAAGGCTGGGGTTTCCCAGGCAAAGAAGGAAGCCAAGCTTTCCACCTGCCATTGCCGGCCTAGGCCTCCACTCAAGGCTACAAAGTTTAATTATAGGTGAACAAATCCAAACAGAAATGGCGGCAGCCACAGAGCTGGAAAGAGCAGGAGTCTAGAGTTGACCCCAGCAATGGAGGAAGCTTAGCTTTCCGCCTAACCTTGCTGGCCCAGGCCTCTGCTTAAGGCTATAAAATTTCAATTATAGAAGAAACGTAAATTCCAACAGAAATGGCTGCAGTCACCGAGCAAGCAGAAGACTTGGCTCAGCTCCAGGCTACAAAGTTTCAATTATAGAAGATAAATAAACCCCAGATACCAAGGCCTCCGCTTGGGTCGCCAAAGGCCGTGGCTGGCCTGCAAACCACAACAGGCCCCTCGCTCAGGCCGCCCTATGCCCCAAGGGAACCCCCACCCTGATCTGAAACAGCTGGCATCCAAGCATGCACCAGGCCTCTGTCCTATCTAAT